TGTAACTGTATCACCAGCTTGCCTTCTGCTTTATTTTGCTACTTTCTTCTCCTTTCCATGTGGAGAAGTTTTATTTTATTTTTATTTAATTTTCTGATGAGAGTTAAATAGTAGATTTTTCATTATTGCTTTTACTCAGTAAGTACTAAGAGGTACAACATCTTTTAATTTTATGGAACCCTAGTGATATTGAACCATAAGGAATTTTGGAAATAGTCGCTTATTTTATACATGGGGAAGCTGAATCCTCGAAGTAAAGTGACAGCTTAGTTCATTACTGAATGTCCATTCATTCATTTAGCAAAACGCTTAAAGCTTGGCTTGCAATGTACCCTGTGAGACACTGTGGGGAGACAGAGATGACTAAGAGAGGCTCCTGCATGAGTTTAACCAGATAGAATGAAGAGTGTGTCATTACTGAGATACAAGCAAGTTACCGAGGGAGCTACGCACTGCATAGGAGTTCTATGTCTGGCATTTCTCTTTCTTCACATCTGTGCTAGGAAGAAAAAAGAATATAGCAGAGAGCTTTAGTCAAGCCCAGAAGGTTCCACAGTAATTGCTTCCCAGATTTACTATCAAACTATGTGGCAGTATAGGTTTTACTCCAAATTTTGAATTCATGGAATATTACAATAATTAGCTAGGTGTTTCTAACTTTTAAAAAATAATAGTATTCTAACATTTTTCTAAGAAAATAGTCATTCCAACATTATGGTTGATTTTCATCACCACAAAGATTAAGATTCATGAGTCATAAGGAAAACAGTTTGCTTTCAATTTAAAAAATAGCAAAAATATTGCAATAAAATGAATGAAAATATGGAACCATCTGTGTCCTGGATGGTAATGCCAAATCAGTGTTTACTGTAAACAATACGATTTGTTCAAGTCCACTTTTGAAGGAGAGTGCTTTAGTGTACACGCAGCAAAGGAAGATGCATCCTTCCTTCATTCACAGACCTTACATGCAACGCATTTACACAGCCATCTAGGTGCATACGTGAGATGTGCACATATGTCTCTAACACTCGAGTGGGAGATTTCCTGACAGGACATTAATACAAGTAATCCTAAAACAGATATCTTGTATCTGAACTGTCACCTGAAAGACAATTCAGGTCTTCATTACCTCTGGCACCTGTCACAATGCCATAGTCTCTTTCTATCAGCAACCTGGTATTTACCCATCCGTTCTGGTCTTTGCAGAACTATCAGATTATTTTTGATAATATATAACTTGTCACACTTTCTTGCTCTAAAACTCCCAAAGCTGCACCTCTTCTACAGAGTACACACAGGCCCATAAACTCCATCGCAACATAGTAATGATCCTCCTCTCCCACCCATTCCAGCTGACAAAAATCCCTCAGCTTCAGCCAAGGTAATCAAATGCCGTCCCCCTTTTCTGTTGAAGTTTTCACTATTCTAGATAAGTGGGTCTGTGTCCCCACCTCCCCAGGACTCACTAACAGGTCAGGCCTGCTTATCTCAGACGGAGCCATTTGTCCTGCCTGCATCCTAGCTTTGGCACCCAGGAGTAAATGCAATATTTTCATGATTCCATATTTTCCCTCTCTTAATGAGTCTCTGAGCTCCTGGAGGGGTGACCAGGTGATTTGGAAAGTGCCTTACATTTTTTAAAGATTTAATGTACAACATGGGGACTATAATTAACAAAACTGTAGTGTATTCAAGATTTTGTTAAATGAGTAAATTATAGCAGCTCTTGCCACGGGCATGGAGGTGGGAGTGAATGGGTAAGTCTGAGATGGTGGGTATGTTAATTTGTTCCATTATAATATCCATTTTACTTTGTATGTATCTTACAACTGTGGTCCCCAAACCCCAGTAATGGTCTGAGGCCTAATAGGCCACAGAGCTGTGCCACTGTGGGAAAACTGTCTTCCATGAAACTGGTCCCTGGTGCCAAGAAGGTTGGGGACCTCTGGCTTAAAACACATGTTGTATGCCTTAAATATACACAACAAAATTTCTTTTAACAAATAAATTACAAATAATTTTTGAATAGGCCTTGAGCACTTGGTTAGAAGTTAGATGTTGTGAAATGGCCAGGAATTCTGTCGTTTACCTACAAGGCGGAGGGTGGCCCCCTCCCCTCCATTTCAGGGGAAAGCTTTACAGTCGGTGGGGAGGGGGGAGTGGCTGAGTTGCTCGGCAACCTCCTTTATCAACCTTTAATTCAGGCCTTCTCTATTATAATATTTCTTGAGCACACATCCAGTGCAAGACGTGGCCAATTTGAAGGTTTCTTTTCTTCTTCAATACTGCAGTCCCTAAGCCAATAAATAACTCACCTGAAGGTCAGGAGTACCCCTCCCTCCTTTCTCTGGGAGGGGGAGTGGGGGGGGAGTCCGGGGAGGGCGGGGGAGTGGAGGGGCCGCGATCTAAGTGGCAGTCGGAGAGCTAAGGCTGTTGGCAGCTGTCTCCAGGCGTCTTCCCTGGAGCCAGACCCCGCAGGACTGGGAGGCTGTTCCGCGTAACTGTCCCGAAGTGCTGCGGCGCCCCTCCCCGCGGCAGGGAGGGCCGCCGGGCCGAGGTTGGCTCGCCCCGCACCGTCTCTGGGCGTGGGCCGCGCCGCAGCTCCGCGGAGCCTCGGAGTCTCCCGCAAGGGGCGGGGGAGGCGCGGCGAGCAGCCCGGGGCTGCGGCTCCCTCCCCGCGCCGAGTCTCCTGCGCACCGCCGGCGAGCACGCGAGCGCCAGCCTGCTCCCTCGCCGCGGCGCGCCGGGCTCCCCGCCGACCCCAGGTAACTTTTCTGCTCGGGAGTGGGGGCTGCCAGGGGGTCTCGGCTTTCAAGGTGCGGAGGAAGAGCCAGGGCCGGGCGCGGCGCGCGGGGCCGTGCGGCTGACGCGTGCTCCGGCGTCGCGCGGCCGCTCGGATCGCGGACCCCGCCGGCGCGGCCCGGGTCCCCACCCGACCGCCCGCCCGCCGCCCGCTCGGGGACCCCCGGGCCGAGCCGTGCGCCGCGCCGCCCGCCGCGCTGCAGCATCGGTTGAGCCGGCGCGCCGAGCCCGAGCACCGGCCTCCGGCCTGGGGGCCTCCCTCGGAGCCCCGGCGGCTGGGGCGACTCGGTCCCCGCGTCCCTTCTCTGCCAATTTGCGTAAATCCCCCGCTCGGGGCGCCATGTTTTGAGTTACCCTCGGGCGGGGGGCGAGGGCGGGCGCGGCGCGGCCGGCCCTCCCGCAGGAGTGCGGGGCGGGGCGACACTGCGGCGCCGCGGGCGGGGCTGGCGGGCGGCTGGCGCGGGAGCTGCGCGCCCGGCTGCGGGCTGGTCCCGGGTCCCGGGGGCCGGCGCGGCGCGGCGCGGGCCGGGTAAGGTGCGCTGGCACAAAGCATCCCCTCTCGGCTGCGGCCGGCCGCTTTTATATAACTTGCCTCCTTCCCGAACCGGGGCGGCTTCCCGGGCAGGAGGAGGGGGCGTCCGCACGAGGGTGCCCGGGGCCCGGCACCTGCGGGCCAACTCGCCCTGCCCCTCTCCGCGGGCGCCCCGCGGGCCTGCGCGGCCTGGGGCGGGCGCGGCCGGCTCACCTGGCGCCCGCGGGCTGCCAGCCGCCTCGGGAGGTGTCTGCGAGGGCCGCTTTGCGGCGTGGGGGCGGGGAGGCGGGCTTCGGACCCTGGAGTTGGGGTCCCCGCCGGGTCTCCGCGGCGTTTCCTGGCTCCTGCCGCGGGGTCTCGCTTTCTCGGGTTTCCCCTCTAATCTCGCCCTACTTTTTCCCCCTTCCCCCCTCACCCCCACGCGCCAAGTTCATGGCTTCTGCAATGCGGTGGGTGTGGTTATCTAGCAAATTTAAACTGTGGTCCTTTGCAGGGCGAGCATGCTTTCCTTTTTTCTTTTTATATTTACGGATCTAAAGTTTTCTAGGGGGTTTGCCTTTAGTTGCAGCCCAGTGTTAAAGTTAGCAAGAGATTGCTGCAGAGCAAATAGAATGATAAAGAAAACATGTGGTATAAATTACTTGTGGAGGCTGGGCCGGGAAGTCCTGAGAGGGCCGCGGTCCTGCGAATGCTGTGCTTCCATTACGTGTCTAAGTTGTTTCAGCTTTTTTGCATTAGTCTTGCGGGATTGCTTTTGCAGATGTCATCACTGCCTCCTTCTTCTTTTTTGGCTCATTTTAGGCTCTCTGAGGCAGCCAGGTGTGCTGGAATTTGTCCTGGTAGCTTTAACTTCCATAGTAGAGGAGCCGTCACACCCAGTACTAAAAACATTCTTTTTGAGTTTTACACTGGTTTTTAAAGTCTCAAGGAAAGAAAAATGCTACAACTCCATTTATATCTGGGAGCCATGGACGCAGTACCAGTTATATAAATTAATCAGAAAAGCCCTATTAAGAAAAGGGAGCAAATCAAGTTTGAGTGAACTCTGGGGACTGAGAGGTGATTTATGTCTTTGCTCAGAGGAGGTTTTTAAAAAATGCATATTAATTTTGGTATCCAAACTTTTAAAACTTTAGCTGAAGTGACAGAAAGCTATTGTGAGAGGAAATAAATTCTAAACTGAAGAATTGGGACTTAAGGAAAACAGAATATCAGATGCACAGCTTACCGCATAAAGTTTATTTAGCTAATACTCTTTAGGCAAATGATTTTTGCAAAATAGAACATGCTTTGTGAATGAATTATCAAGAACAGGAAGAGTAGTCACTTTAAATTGAAAACCCCTTTTCTGGAAGGGTTCAGGAGCTATGGGTCAAAGGTCAGTGTCTCAGTGAAATGTTTATGCTTAATTTTTAAGTCATTCCTTCTGCATGAATGCAATTTAGGTTAAAAGCAGTTATTATCAATTCTTGTATAATGCTTGAACTTTTGCCAACTTTGAGTTGTATGGAAATACAAGATCAGGGAGCTTTTTCTTTTACTTGATCAGATGCAGTTATATATATATATATATATATATATATATATATATATATATATGTTGTTTTTAAAAAAAAATTGGTGGGTCAAATGCATTAAGGGGCCACCTTCGTAGAAGAGAGGCAACTATCCATGTACTGAGAAAGATGATTTATTAGCTTGTGAATCTTTTCTGGATTTACTATAGTATTGGATTAAGTGTGGCAGGAACTTGCTGTTCAGTTTTCTTCCATTTAGGTTGTGCATTCATCTTTTAAGTTAGTGCTTTTAAAAAGAAGTCCTAAATTTCACAAATTAGAATTCTTGCCCTGGCCAGAAAAATAGAACTAGAATAGACTGAAAAATAAATGTTTCTTTTCTGTAAGAATTTGAGTGTAATGAAGAGAGAGGATTCTTGAGTGGTCTACCCTGGTCATCTTTAATTCTCATAGACTGTTCCAAGTACCCCATCATGGTTTTCCTCTTTGAATGTCAGCTTTATCGAGGAATATAGACTCACCATTGAAACCCATGAATCAAATTTATCTTTAGCACCACTTCATTTAGAGAGATCCTTAATGATGCTATTGCTGCATCTATTTCTTTCAGAAGGCTAGCTAGCTGCTAATTTGTTGGGAATTCATCGGGCACTTGGGCTCCTGGAGGGTTCTGCCTCATTTGATTTGTCTTGGCTCTAAAGAATTATGTGCTCAGAGGCAGGGACTAGAGCAGTGAAGTCATTGCCCTGCCTGGTGTTGTGACATCACTATGACTGGAAGGAAACGAGGGTGGGGCAGGCAAAACCAGACGTCTGAAGCATCTTGCTGGCTTTGACTTTGCCTGGTCCATGAGTGAGACTCTCCTTGCTCAAGTTGAACTGCACCACAAGGTATTGTTTGGAGACCTGGAAGATAGAGTGAGCTTAAGACTGCCTGGGAGAATGTGTCTCTAAGAGCACAGAAGAAGAGGTTTTTTGGTGAAATAGTAGAAATCATTGAATATTCTTTTTATAGAGGAAAATACTGTAATTTTTGAAAGGGGCCATTTAAAAAATTACAGAACAAGAGTAATGAGTATGTATTTTTATTTATGTATTGAGTCAATATATTCCTTATTCTTTGTTCTAAAATAGCATTCTTGCTCAATTCTAATGTGTTTTAAAAGTATTTTGTGTCTATAAAGATACCATTTGTTTACTGGGAAGGCAATGGTCTCATTTATTTTTAAGTGATGTGATTGCAGTTGGCAGTTGGAAAAAGCTAGGGATTTCATAAGTATAGAAGGTATCTGCAGTGATTTGGGGTAATTGATTTACATTTATTTTTTTATTTGTTAATTTTATGATTTAGCATTTTAATCCTAATTTAGAATTCTAGTGTAGAGATGATCAGACACATTTCACCCAAATTAGTATTGAATAAATTATAAAAGACTGAAATTCTGAGACCATAAAGTACATTTCATGTTTTGATTTTTGAGTTTAATGTTGATGTGAGCATAAAAAATGTGAGCACAGAATAGCAGCAAATGTTCGTTCTCTTTTCTGTATCTCTTTGCTAAGATGACTGTCATTTTTCATGTTAGTGTATTATGCACATAGGAGCTCTGAGCAGTTCTTAACTGTGTGGCTGTTCAATAGCACATTTCCAAAGCAAAGGGAAGGAAGAAAAATGGGAAGAATGGCACAAGTAGAGAAGTTGAAATTAGGTGCCAGAACAGCAGATCACTTCGTTGAAATGTCTTTGGTACTGCATTTTTAGACCTTGCAATGATTGGTTAAATTGCACACTTTAGAATTGTAACCTCCTGTTAGCACCAAACCCCTAATTCTTTTGTAATTTGCAGTACAGAGAAAAAGCTGACAACTTAATTTTTAGATTGCTGACATTTTGATATATTGTTCTTATAACCCTGCCTTACAAACTAAAAACAGAGAGACAGAGAGAGAGAAGCAGAAAGGTCTGTATTAGACCTAGAAAACAAATGCAATCTTTAACTTGCCTTGAGTGTATATTTTTCTCTCCAGTTATCCTGGGTGAGTGGTTGAGAAGGATATGAAGTTATTTCTCTTGGGGTTTCATCCCAACCCAAGTACATGTTTAAACACTTAAAGCATTGAGTAAATATTTATGGAATTGAATTAAAAATGAGGCCATTTGTGACTTACGCTTTATCACAAAGAAAAATTTGCGAAGACTTGAAAAGCACTGCTGCTTTATTTAAAAATGAGAATTACTGGACTCGTGTTTGGGGTCATTATTTTTAATGACACAATCCTCATCATAACAGGGTTGCCACCTCTGTCTACAGCTCAAATTGGGTAGATCCTAGAGGTTTTGCCATATCAGAGAAGAGAATTCTGCAGGTACCAAGAGAAAAGAAGAATGGTTTCTTTGAGGGGAGAACTGCAGGGAGCCTGCTTCCCTTCCTGCCAGCTCTAATTGGTGTCATGGAGGACATCAGGATGGAGGGAGTGCTGTGAAGAGGAGAGGGATCAGATGGGAGGGTGACAGAAGCTGAAAGGGATTAGTGTTCAAAGATGATATTGATCCTGGTGTTGAGCTAAAAAGAGAAAAACTATTTTCTGTTTTAGATCTCTCTCTTTTGGTCATTTTTGTACAAGCATTGTTTACATCCTCAAATAGTGAGTTTCTGTGTATTCAAGCCCCAAATTTGATCATGTCTAAGAGAAACTTATTTTTTTCACATTTAGCATCTCTGAAATTGGGATAGGTCTCCAATGGCTCTCAGCCATGTGGCAGAAAAAAAGCTGGCAACTTAATGCATTGATTGTGAGTGTGCATCAAAAATTGGAGATTGGATGTCAACCGATTGGAAGAAAATCCTGGAGACAGTAATGGAGCACTCTTAAGAACTGATGCAGTTCCCGTGCTCTGGTGACACAGAAGATGATATTGTGTGGAAAAGCATAGACAACAGTAACTCTTAGTCAACATGCAGTTTGGAAGAGGTGGATTCTGAATATGTAAGAATTTTTAGGAATACCTTGACAAATTAATTTTTTTATGTTTATGTATGCATTGAATACCTAAATAAGTCTAAAAGAGTTCTTTAAGAAGAAAATAAAAATTCCAGTTTTGAAAAATGTCTAAGTCATACTTAATTGGCAGAGTGCTATATGACATAATGTTATCTTTTACAGTCAGTGATGTCATGAATCTTAGGAAATATGATTTGTCTCTTGGCTATGCAAAGTTTTTAAAAATACTTTATAATATTTGGTGCTTATTTATACTGTCCATTCTATGTATTGGTGCATTTTTTTATGTACATCCTTTTGTAGAAAAAAATCTGTTGAGCAGTCTTCATTTTCCGTTTTGACTTTTCCATTTTGACCCTAGGAAGATGGTTGGATTTTAATAGAGCATCTCAATTAGTCATTGAGAAGACACTTGAGATAGGACATTCCAGAAGTGAAGAGGCTTAAATTTAGCTGGAATGTAGCATTTATGTTGGGAGGGCAGAGGGAGATGAATCCAAAGAGCCAGTGTAGGGCCTGATTGTGGAAGGTTTTTGCTATGAGGCTAAGGCATATTTTGGACTTTGCTAGGTAGTGGGGAGCCATTGAAAATGGTTGAGTAGAGAAGGAGCATGCTTATCTGGTGATAAACGTAGAAGGAATTGGAAGAGTAGGAATCTGGAGACAGATAGTCTTTCATTAATGGACTAATCCAAAAATTTTCAGAAATTGAATATAATGATTTTTCTCCCAATGACTGATATTTTAGACATTCACCCCATTTATTTTTTGTGGGAGTATTTAGCTAGAGATTAAATATTACTTTTGGACTGTTTAAAGTACAAAATGAGATATATGGAAGATGGGAATATTTTCCTCCTTATTTACCCTTTCATTCAAATGTCTTTATTTCAGATATTAAAAATAATACATTCTCATTTTATAATATATTCTAACAATACTTAAAAAACAGAAACAACAAAAAAGAAATCTCATCATCTAGAGAAAGTTACTTTTAATATGACAAACAGCCTTCCAAAGCTACCTCTAGGAATGTATAATCTATTAGAGTGGGTCTTGGATTCAGATAGCCTGTGTTGAGCTCCCAGTCTTACTATGTAATAGCTGTGTGGCATGGGTCTCTTAATGCCCTAGAGTCTTTTTGCTCATCTGTAAAATGGGACATAATGCTCATATCTCAAGGATATGAGAATTAAATATTGTAATACATGCAAACACTGAACACAGTACCTGGTATCTCATAAGTGCCTCATAAATTGCAGTAGCATTATTTTGCATGTATAGATTCATAGACACGTACATAACACTTTACATGGATGGACTTCTATCTTAAATACTTCTATGGAACCTTTTTTTCAATATAACAGTATATCTGTGGAAGCTTTTTCATGTATATAAATCTATATCTGTGTTACTTAGAATGGAAAAAATTTTCTTTCGGTCCTGTGGAATACTGGGGAAGGATCATTACCTTCATGATGATGATGATTTGAAGCTTTGTCATCCAGCCCCTCCTCCTCCTGCCACTTGCTGCCTACACTTTTCATCATTCTCTTCTCCCACACATGAGGAGGCTTGCCGTGAAGCAGGACGTTAAGGAAAATTAAAATCTGTAATGGCGGTTAGGTGCGTCTCGATGCTGTGTGTGAATATTTAGTTTTAAACTAAAACAGCCAGACTTTTACCGTGTGTTTCCTGATTTTTAAACTCATATGTTAATGTGCTGTCTTCGTAGAGGACTGACCCTGTCTAGCCTTGAGCTCCCGGGGGGGGGGGGGCGCCCACTGCCCCTCTCAGGTGCCCCCCACACGCACCGAGGGGCAGCACGCACAGCAGCCTGTACCTGAATTAGACTCTCCAGAGCCAGGATATTCAGAGTCTGAGATAGTTAAGGACGTGTGTGTGTGTGTGTGTGTGTGTGTGTGTGTGTGTGTGTGTAGCGTGGGAATTGGCCTCCCAGAGATGGAAAAGAACAAGGCTCTTTTGGGCTCCTCCTGAGTTCCTCCCTTCGTCCTCAGCAACGGCCGCAAATGTCAGTCGGTTCACAGATTTCACCCAGATTATCCAGGGACGTGGATGGCTCTGTTATGTTATTCACAAGCACGTGGTTTTGACTGATCTTGGGTTTACACAGAGCTCAGTCTTGTGTTCCCTACGTCCCACCCAGCTGAGAAAAACAACTTTATGATCCCAAAGGTGGCCATGCCATTCTGGAGTCTGCAGGCTTACGCCTGAGCCTGGGCCTGAGCATTGCTTATTTTTATGCAATTTGTATCTAGAGTTACATCAAAGCATTTTAGGGAGTTTTTGACACTTTCATTATGGAGAATTCTTCCTGATGAATTTTTGTGTACTTTATACCATTATTTTGTGCTGTTTGGTGATGACTTTTAGTTGACTTTAACTTAGGAGGAATAGTTTTAGTGGGCTAAGTGTAGTACTTGGAAAATAGAGTTGACTAATTTGCTCAAGACATTTGTAAAGTTTTCCTCCTGAATTCTTGAAATGTAGATAGCAGTAATTCACGGGGGTAGCACTATGCTGTAAAATAAAGAAAATACGATGAGTTAGAGAAGATACAGATTGAAATATCTGCTAACTTTGAGCTAGTTGACTTTGGGCAGTTTATTCCATTTTTCTGGGCAAGGTCTCCCAAGCTGTGAAATGATAATAATGGTGCCTACCTCAAGATTGAAATGAGATCTGTATTCAAAGACATCTGGAATCGTGTGCAGTGAGAATAGGCATATGATAAATGTCTTCCCATTTCAGCTAGTATATGTTGTTGACCTGCTTTGCTTGTTCCTAAGGACCTATAGTAGGAATTGTGAGAATCCAAAGATGGCCCTCAGGATGAATATAGAATTTTGTGACATTCCACCACAAACTTGAAAATCCAAAAGATGGTCTTCAATGAGGATATGGAATCTTGTCAAGTATGAAACTGCAAATAACAGTAGTAGAGGTTTGCAAAGAGACACGGTGGTTTTCAGATTTTCATATGCAGCAGAATTATCTGGGGTGAAATAGGAATTCTCAGAGAACCATCTCCAGATTTTCTTTTAATAGGTCAGGAGTTGGGTCTGTAAGGATATGTCTAACGAGCACTTCAGCGGAGTCTGAGGCAAGTGGTCCCTGGACCACATTTTGAGATACAGTGTCTTAAGGACTCTTGTCTTAATGACTCTCTAGCTTATAGGCCATTGTCAGATAAGCATTTAATCTGGAAAGATAATACACTATAAATAAATAGCACAGATGTTTGAGAGAATGCTTAGCGTAGAGCAAAGAACCATGCCCTTGGACTCAGGATGCCCGGGTCTCATTACGGCTGGTCCATCACAACTTTTCTGGCCTTAGAAATTAGGTAAAACTTAAAAGGTTAAGAAAGCAGGATAAGGGTTAGTTTTCTTATTTATTAAATAGAGATATAGTAATTATGTAGCAGAATGGTCAGAAGGATTAAATGAGAATGTAAGTGAAAGTGCATGGCTCATTTTAATACGTCTTCAGTTGGGGCTAATTTTCTTTCTTTGTGATTGGTAATGGAGTGAAATGACAGTAATGAAGAAGTGCTTCCATAAGTAAATATGATTCTGCTGATCAAAATTATACAGAGCTATTTGGGATATTCTTGAGATACTATGAAGTTCATAACATATAACTTAAAATGATTAAAAGCTTTATTTTCTTTACAGATGTTACTGTGTTTAGTGATATTAATATGAATGGTAAATGGTCAGATTACATTATGACATGTTAATTAGTGATTTTTTCGTATACTCATATGCAAGAAGGACATACACACTCATGTAAGGCACGGATGGGGCAACAAAAGTCCCTGTATATCATATTTAAATTGCATTGATGTCTTAGAATCCCAAGATGAATTCAAGAGGGAACTTCAATCTTTGGAGCTATAGTTGCCATTTAGCCTTAAGGGTCTTACGCCTTTTTGGCAGCATGGCCCTGCCTTGGCACAAAGAGAGCCAGCTGAGGTATGTAACCACCTTCAGACTTTGGCTTTTCTCCCCTTGTCAAATCTTCTCCAGTTATCATCCAAGTTGCAGTTTTGGAGTTACCTTTCAGACTGCTTTCACATGAAGACAAGATGTGTGAATAGATCTTTAGCAAAGGATAGAATATGCATGTATTAGTAAATTAAATTTCATAATCTTTTTCCACTCAATTTCCAGTGAAATGTTCCTCTGAAATGTTTATTGGTTTTATGGGTTTACCATCATCCCTGTTATTTCTACATGCTCTTATTTAAGATTTGGATTTCAACGTGGTCTCCTTGCCTGAGGCTTCTCCTGGCTAGTATTTGGTCATATTAGGGTACATAAGTGCCTCTGTTGCTGGTCAGATCACAGCCCCCAAGGCTCCAGATCTCAGCGACTGTTTCATTGTCTGCCAGGATGAATTGGATCTTCTCTAGTCAGGCCAGCTCCAGATGATCTCTTCTCCAAATACTCTAGTTCAAGTATCTCCCAGAATGAAGAATAAGAAGCAAAACGAAATAAACCAACCTATCTTTTGACTCAGCTTCCCCTTCAACCTTACTGCCAGTGTGTCTTCTCAGCTGCTTGGTTGTCAGCCAGACGTCTTTGAAATTATGCTATGTACAGGCAAGACACTCATTTAGCACCAGTGATAATTAATATTAAAAGACTGACCAAAGTATGCCAAGGTACATATTGAAAGTGAAAAAGCAGATGACACATGCCAACACACTTGAGCCTTTGTAAAGTTGTGTCCCTTTATCTATTTAATTCCACAAATACTTACGGAATGCTTCTTCTGAACCTGGTACCATGCTCAGTTCTGGGATTACAGCAATGAACAGGGCAAATCAGGCTCTGCTCTTCTGGAACCTGTGTTTTAAACAGGGGACAAGCGGTACACAAATAAGATTTCAAATAGCAGTGAACACTCTGAGCAGGATCAGGGCCCGGTGACTTTGGGTATAGAGAGCTTCTTTAGAT